CACATAGGCCCCTTCTGCAGGCAGATTTGTCTTTCAGTATGGCTTGGTGCAGAGAACCTGTCCCAGATGCTCTCTCATCCCTCCTTCATCTGCTGTGTGACTCTGGGGTGGGGGGTGGGGGTCCCTTGCCCTTTCTGGGCCTTGGTTTTAGGTGGAGCAGATGTTCTCTGGGCCATATAGTTTGTCTACCCTGTTCTCTATTCACATCTGCGGAATCTTCTAGATCCCGCCAGACTGGGGCTTCCCTCCCTCCCCGCTGGTGCCTTTTTCTTTCCTTTACTGTGACTTTTATCAAAAGCAAACAGGGTGATCCTTGTGATAGGGGCCGCTCCCCAGCTGCCCTGTGGGAGTCACAGGGCGGGTTGGAGGGAACGATGGGCTGATTAGATAAGTAGGTACTGGTGGTGAGCCGGTGGGCACCCACATACCAACCACAGACTCCACAGGGCCTGGTGGGGGCTTTGGGTGGTTGGTTTGGCTCCAGTGGCCCTGGCCATTGGCACAAGGGGTCCGGCCCCATTTGAGGTGAGGAAGTCTCTCGCTGACACTCCTGCACACCACAACCTCCTCTTTTAGAATTTCATGCCGGCAGATGGGGCCATTACCCACACGGGAAAACAGGGGTGACTCGGGTCTTATCAGAAGGGCACTCTGAGGTCAGGGCTTAAGAGTGACCATACTTGGGCCAGGCAGTGGTGGCCTTTGACCTCAGCACTTGGGAGACAGAGGCAGGCGGATCTCTGTGAGTTTGAGGCCAGCCAGGACTGTTACACAGAGAAACCCTACAAAAAGAGAGGCCATGCTTGGGGAGCCAGAGAGATGGTTCGGTGGTTGAGAGAACCTGTTGCTCTTTTAGGGATCCAAGTTTGGTTCTCAGCCCTCGTGTCAGGAGGCTCCAACTCCGAGGGGATCTGACACCCTCTTCTGGCCTGTGTGAGCCTAGATACACACACGGCATACCTACACACAGACACACAGACACACAGACACACACACACACACACACACACACACACACACACACACACACTATAAATAAAACATTAACAAAGAAAGAAAAAAAGGAGGAAAAAGGAGTGGCCACGTGTGGGCCTGTGACCTTGGGGAATATGCAAAAGATCTCTGGGTCTCCATCATCTACATAAAGAGGAGGCCAATGCCAGGACTGGGCAGTGCAGTGCAGCTGTCGAGGGAAGCCACTTAGATTTCAGGGCAGAGCTGGAACCCAGGGGCCTCAAGTCAGGTCTGAGGAGCTCCCAGGCCAAGGGCACCCCTGTGGGGCCACTTTCAGCGCTGTAGGAAATGCGGCCCTTTAGCCTTGCGGACAGAGGCTCTTGAGGATGACCTATGAGCATATGAGCACCCCTTCTACAGCATAGTAAGCTGAGGGTCCAGCAGGACGGAAACAGCTGCCACCAGAGCAGTGTCAGGACTTGGCCTGTTGGTTTGAACACAGTTCTGCCACCCAGGGCACCCCAACAATAGCCAGATCAACCCCTACCCCCAGCCAGGCTCCAGCTGAGGAGGTGGATCCTGGGCTTCTGTTCCTGGGGGGTGAGTGCCCTGAGGGCCGTGCATGACTAACATTGCAAACAGATAAATATGCATTAGGTCCCTTGAAGATGCTTCTGGGGAATGCAATTAAGTCCTAGCACGTGTTCTAGAAGCAATGTGTACAGTTGTTTACCTGAATAAATTAGCCCTTGACCCAATGCTGGACCTGCAGTGACCGCCTGGTTCCTGTCAAGGGCCCACCAGAGAGCATTAGGGAAACTGAGACCAGAGCCAGAATATTTCAGCCCTGAAAGAAGCCAGCTGCTCCCTCCTACGTCATCCTTCAAAAGAGTACTGGGGTTGTGTGGTGAGACTCTGGGTCAAACTCAGCCTGTCTGCTACACAGTCCCGCTGGCCGTTGACCCTCTTTGAGCCTCGGTCTCCCAGGAATGCCAGGAGGAATCTCGTAAGTCGTGTCTGGTGTTGGGCTGAGGGACAGAAGATGGGACCAGGGTTCAAGTTAGGACTGCAGGGTTTAAGGGACAAAGGGCACATTCTCTGTTCTCCACTGAGGGAACAGGTGGCCTAGGCCTAAACCAGGCTGGAACCCACTATAGGAGCTGCCTGTGACCATGGGGGCATCTGGACAGTGCCTTGTTCCTAGAATTCCCAGGATAGAAGCTGTGGCCCCAATCCCTGTCCCCGGATACCCCTCAGAGCTCTGACAGTGAGCATGTGCCACAAACCCAGAGGCTAGATCATGGCCACATGGCCACATCCAGCCCAGGTTTCCTGGGAAACTGTCTTCCCAGCCCCTCACCTGCCAGGTAGCCCCAAGCTTGCTTTCTTGCACTCTCATTCTCAGGGTCCTTGGAAAATTCCCAGCTTCTCCAAGCCCCACTTTTCTGGTGCTGTTTTACCTGCTAGGAGAGCATCTCTGCTGGGTGCTAGCTCATTTCTTGGCCACAAGGGATTGGGGCAGGAACTAGGTTATCTAAGTAACTGAATGTTGGCTATCACCAGAGCTGCTGTGCACAGTTGTACAGGTTGCCTTGTAACAAGGTGCTGAGGTAAGCTGAGGCTGAAATCAGCTGCCTTCCCCTTACCCATCTGCCTCAAAAGGCAGACTGGCTGACCTGGACCCTGGACCAGAGAGGTGTGTTACCATAGTGATTGTTGTACATCTCACCTCTCCAAGGCCTCCCCCAGTCCCTGAGTGCAGAATGATGGTGCTGTCCCCCTGGGAGAGGGACCACAGCCCTTATCAGCAACCAGTCCTCTCTGGCAGTGCATGATACCCAGAGGATGGGGTGGCTGCCGTGGGAAATGCCAGCCATGTTCTTATCTGGAAGGCTGAGCTGTGGCCGTGAACTCTGATTAGGGTGCGGGGCCGTTTGCTGGTGGGTGAGTGAGGGGGTGGCACCGACGGCCTCCTTCCCCATGGGGGATGGAGGCAAGCTGGAGCCCAGAGCCTGGCTCCCACAGGTAGCAGCATGGATGAGTGTGGCTGTAGGACTGCCCATGCCACGCCCTCAGGGTGACCTACATCAACCGCCTCCTTACCTTGTGCCCCAATTTGTGAGGACACAGCCTCAGGTGAAGGTGTCTCTGCAACAGGGAGATCATGACAGGGGCCAGGCCCCATCTTCTGAGGGATGTTCTAAACACAGAATAGAAGTCATGTGAGGGTAGATGACTTAGCTGTCTGACTCGAGATCCAGGTACACCCTTCTCAGGATAGAGCTTTCTCTGTCCCTTCCTGACACCTCGGTGGGATGCTGGGTAGCCAAGCTTAAAGCACAGACTCTCAGAAGAACTCTCTAATTCCATTTCTGTCCTGAGGGCCATTATGTGGGGACCAAAGACATAAGCACCCAAACCAGGGGAAGCTGACGGGTCACAACAACCAATGACAGCCCTATAGTCAGTCCGGGTTTGGATGCTGACACCTGCCGCCAGCTGTGGGCCTGTCAGAGCCTCAGTTTCCTCGTCTACACGGGAAATAAGCTTCACAGGAGCTAGTCTGTCCACCCTCTCAGGACAGTGCTGCCAAGCCCTGCTCCTGTAGATGGTACTGACCACCCTGGTGTCAGCTTTGAACCATGCCCTGTGGGGTGAGGGAGGGCGAGGGAGGGGGAGCCAATGGAGCCCTGCACCAGGACAGTGTCCTGGGTGAGCTGCAGAGGACCGGTTGCTTTTATGAAGGGTAGAGCCTGCCTTCTGGCCCCTCAGCCCCTCTCCCACTCCCAGGCTGATAAAGGGGTGCAGGCCTCCTTGGCCTCCAGCCCTGGTCCACTGCCATCTTATCAGCCCCGGGGAAGACAAAGGCCCAGTTACAGCTCTCCACGGGCCTCCTGGCGTATTTACACCTTATCTCCACCATTAGCTGGCCAGTTATCTGATGATCGAGCCCATTAAGGCCACAGCCTGCCTGATGGGGCTCCAGGAAGTGGGGCCGCCACAGCACTCTGGCCAGGGGACCAGGCCAGGCCATGTGAGGCCTCCACCGGCTGGCAGCCTGGGTAGCAGGTGGACAGGGCAGAGGGTGTGTGGCCTGAGGAAGGACCATGCTCCCGCCTCCTTTAAAGAAACAGAGGCTCAGCAGGGTGGTGGCGGCGCACGCCTTTAATCCCAGCACTTGGGAGGCAGAGGCAGGCGGATCTCTGTGAGTTCGAGGCCAGCCTGGACTACCAAGTGAGCTCCAGGAAAGGCACAAAGCTACACAGAGAAACCCTGTCTCGAAAAACAAAACAACGAAAAGAGAGAGAGAGAGAGAGAGAGAGAGAGAGAG